AAAAACTTGCACATGGATGGTTGTAACAGCTTTATTCATAACCGCCACAACTTGGAAGTAACCAAGATATCCTTCAGCAGGTAAATGGATAAACTGTGGAACATTCAGATATTGCAATATTACCCATCATTAAAAAGCCATGAGAAGACATGGAGGAACCTTAAATACCATTACTAAGTGAAAGAAGTCAGCCTAAAAAAGTCTATATTTACATACTGTATAATTCCAACTATATGATATGCTGGAAAAGGTAAATTATGGAGACAGTAAAAAGTTCGGTAGGTTGCAAGGGGTTGGGAAAGGAAGAAAGAACAGAAAGAGCATAGAGGATTTTTAAGACAGTGAAACTATTCTGTGTAATACTACAATACCTGATATGTGTCATTACACATTTGTCAAAACCCACACAATGTGCACCAGGAGTGAAGCTTAGTGCTAAACCATGGACTTTGAATGATAATGACAAGTCAATATAGGTTCATTGGATATACCAGTGTAGTGCAAGATATCGACAGCGAAGAAAGGTGGGGTGAGGAACAGAGATGAAAACTCTCTGTATTTTGTACTCAATTCTGCCATGAACCTAAGACTGCTGAAAAAATAAAGCCTATTTTAAAGAAGAAAAATAAATACTGTAAAAGCAAAGTCCATAAAAGTTAAAAGGGGATCAGTGATGTAATGTGATTATCCCACAAGCCTGGTCAGCACTTACCCAATTATCCAATCGGTCATACACTTTCTGTCTCGGACCCGGGAAATCATACATCCACTGAGCCTGAAGGGCCTTTCCCTCTCTACCACCCACTCTCCACCTACCAAACAGCTAACTGTTCTGACACTCCAAAGTCAACTCAATGTCACTGAGTCAGGAAGCCTTCCCTAACCCCTCATCTTAACTGTGGGTTCCTTCCTATACCTCTCTGTATCATGTAACATCCTTTTCTGTTTGGCTCATAGTACTGAAACAAAATTTTTAATTAAATGTGACCTTTCAGAAGTTGGGGGTTATATCTAAAAATCCAGATTTCTTACTACTCTCCTTTTTTTTTTTTTTTCATGTTTCTTACTAATCTTGAAAATAACCATAGGACTTTGTTACCAGGTGGGCATGGGGGTGAGTGGTGGGGACCACATTACAGGTCATTTTCCTTGTGGCCTTCCCAACACTAAGGCAGCTGTCATCTATGACACTGCTGTAATTTATTTACCATCATCCCTGTGCTGTTTTTCCTACACAGTCCCATTTCATTCACTCAGGTGCCTGCCTGGTTCCAGTTCCCATTTGAGGTTGCAAATGCTATTTAGTTACTTGTTTCTCTGACTCTCATACCTAGGAAACTAAGTTTCTTGAGAGTAATGACTTGTTTCTCTTTCATCCTTCCATTCTGACTACAGTATATATTGAACTATTTTCTGAATTCACTAAATGAAAATGAAATAGGAAATGGAATAGAAAAAAATGCTAACATTCAATCCATCATGAATGTTGCTCTGAAAGCTTTAGCAGTTGGTAGCACTGCTTCTTTGCTATGCTTAAATTCACTGCAAAATTCTATATCCTTTTCAAACCTAAGTTACAAGTAGGCTCTTTTTGAGGGTTGGAAGAATGAGAAGCAGAGACACAGAAAAGGAAGAGATCATGTCCTTTGAAGGCCTACTATGTGCCAGACACTGTACTAGACTAAAAAGGTGCAGGAGATGGAGGGGATACCCAGCAGCTAGGAGTGCTTGGCACATCCCTAGGGACCAGATAGGACTAGGTTCCAGAAAGGCCAGTGAGATTCTGCAAAAGGCACAAACAATACAGAGTTGCCAGGCCAGGGAGTGGTTACTGGCTACTTTTGTATATACTTTGTAGGACACTTATAGCATTCTTAGAAATGGTGAACTGATACCAGGGAAGGTCTATATTAGAGCCCATGACTATCCCCACCCACAACCAAGGGCCTCTTCTCTTTTCAATTAAAGCAGTAGATTCTATTACACCTGCCGTTAGGAAGACTCACTAGATAGCTGGCATTGTCCTTTTTCCTTGGAGGAAACAGATTAGAAACGAATGTGTCATATAATCCCCATCAAAACAGAAAAAGGGAAATTTGAAATTAGAAACAGTGGTTTTCATTTAAGAGTATAATCAGCTTTTTAAAAAGCGCATATAATCAGCTTTAATTAGAGAAAAACTATAAAGCAAATAATTTGGCCTAAAGGTACTCTTGAGATGCTATACTGTAAAACCTTAACTAAAGTTAAATTTTTTTACTTAAGATAAATTATAGTTTCACATATAGTTGGAAGATATAATACACAAAGACCTCTTGTACCATATCCCCAGTTTGCCCAGCAGTAACATCTTGTAACACTATAGTCCAGTATCACAACAGGATACTAATATTGATACAGTCAAGATACAGAATATTTCCACCACCACACAAATCCTCATGTTGCTGTGTTATAGCCATACCAGTCTCCTTCTGCTCCCCTCTCCACTTCTTTTAACTCCTGGCAACCACTAATCTGTTCTCCATGTTTACAATTTTGTAATTGCAATAATGTTATGTAAATGAATTCATACAATATGTAACCTTTGGGATTGGCTGACTTCAGCCAGTATAATTCCATGGAGATTCATCTTGGTGTAAAACCTTTAACTGGTATGGATCATAAAACACAATTACAACCTGGTAAAGTAACCAAGACCTCAGGTTCCCTGATGACTCCCACTAAAGTAAATGGCACAAGAACATTAAATTTCACTGTACTCTGTTATCTATAAGTGGTCTCTATATGTACTCTCCTGCCACTGTAAAGACAAAGACATTCTCATCAATTTGTTTCACCACCAAGCCCATTTTACACATTGGAATTAAAAACCTTTGTTTGTGTGGCCATGAACGCTTGTGAAACTTGTCTCCAAAAAAACATAACCTGTTAAATGAGTTCAAAAATCATTATTAATCATTAAGTATTAATGATTAATAATCACATTATGAGTAATTTACAATGAACATCCTGAGTTTTCCCACTTCAAGTAAGTCTTTGCTCTCTCACACTACAAAAAAAAAGCATCACTGGAATAATTGCTGTTTGAAATAGTACCTTCATGTTGAGTTTTAACCACTGCAAAGAAAGAATATCTTTTTTAAAAAACCACAAGCTGATTTGTTCTTCAAATTTTTCCTTTAACACACTTAGGACACTGTTCATAACCACTTCTAATATCTGCCAAACTTGGCAAAAGAATGTCATCACAGAATGATTAATCGAAAAGGAGAAGCAAAATTCTGACCAGACAGACTAACTTTCTACTCCTTACTATTTGAAGACAGGAACCAAGTAGGCTCATCTCACATCAGCAAGCCTATAATACAAAGATCAAGCTACAAGTAATGAAAGAGTCTGCAACCTGTTGCCATGTTTATAAAACACAGGCCTAAAATTCATCGACCCTTAACCAGAAACACAGTACTCTGTATTGGTGATACAATTTGTTAAGCAAATCAAAATTCACTTGTGAACAGACATAAGGTTTCTAGATGAAGCACATACTCTGTTAAATTTCATATATATATATATATATATATATACACACACACATATGTATATATATGTATACACACACATATATTTAAATATATATGGAGAAAGGAGGAAGGGAGGGAAGAAGGAAACAAATCTCTCAGGTAGTTCTCTCAAATTCAAATGTTTGTGTAAACTAACTATGGGGAAAAGTAACAACGTTATTTAAACATTTAAGTAATTACTTGTCCAGTAAAAAAAATAAATACCAGGTGAACTTCAACTGTCTCAATAACCTTACTATCCATATATGTACACACACACATACACATCGATTAGGACTGACCTCTGCATCAGAACCCCCAAGTACCACTCCTTTTCCTGCGCCAAGAAGGAGCCTAAGGCTAATAATATCAATGGTTCCATGTAGACACTGGAGGCTAGCCAGGATAACAGTCCACACTCCTCACTGGCTAGCATTAGCTCACTGACACAGGTTTGTCTCCAGAGGCCAAGAGAAAACTCCTAGAGGGCAGAGACCTATATCTCATTCATCTTTGTAACCCCACAGTGCTACCGTCTGCAAAGGTGCTGCGCAAAGTGGGCACTAAACAAAATATGATGAATGTTACAAAAAATAATATATCTGTTTTAGGTAGAGATCTATAAAATTTAAGAATGCAACAGGAAAATTTCCTAACTCTTAAACATCCCAAAGAGGGTGGAGAATATATAGCTTAGTGGCACTACATGTCCAAAAGCTTATTTGCACCCTTTAAATAACCGCTCTATGGCTCAATTTTCTCTTCTGAACAATGAAGATAATAAGAGCACCTAATTCCTAGGATTTTGAAGTGATTAAAAAGTTGGGGCATGTAAAGTCCTTAGATCAATGTCCGGAACACTACACTCTACTTTAAGAGTTAGCTGCTGATATTACTGAAAAAGACTATTCCATAAAAGTAAGGCCCATACAGTCCCACAAGAGGCCAAAAGCTTAAAAGAAATCATTCTAGGAAAGAGAAAATCAGGGGTTGGCAAACTTTTCCTGTAAAGGGCCAAATTCTACTGTAAATACTGTGGCTTGTCAGGCCAAGAGGCAATATCCTCAACTCTTGGGCCAATTGTTCTTCCTAAAAGGCTAACAGGTTTTTTGTTTGTTTGTTTACATTTCACATTTTAAAACTTAAGAACCATCCTTAGTACATGGCTCCATACAAAAACAGCCTGGATTTGGACCCAGGGCCATAGTTTGCTGACCCCTGGATAAAATTATAATGATCATACAAATCAGTGCTTATTAAGGGCACCACTAGAAAACGTTTGTGAGCTGTTTAAAGTTGACTGAAAACCGTGCTGCTCCCTAGCTTCTAAAATCCAGACAGGCAGGGCCGGGTGGTAGGGAAGCCAGAAACGGGGCTTCAGGAGACAGCCAGGACCTCGCACGGCTCTCCGGGCCCGGCCGAGCCCCCTGCCACACTTACTCGCAGCAGCGGCCCGCGGCCGATCACCGTCTCCCCGGGCGCCAGGGCCACCCGGGGGCCGCCGTCCTGCGGTTGCAGCTCGAAGCCCCCGGACATGGCGGCGAAGACTACACCCCTTGGCAAGGAGACGGTCCCCGCAGCCGTTTCCGCCTTCCATGGACACGCACAGGGCCTAGGCAGGCCCTCGGAAAAATGCAGGGGGAGGGGAGCACAAGCTCCGCTCGGGGGTGTCCAGGCCTGGCACTGCAAGAGCTCTGGCGCCGCAGCAAGAGCCCCGCCTCTCCTCTCCGGCCAGTGACGCGTTCCGGGATTCCTCCAACACTCCGCCTCAAAATTATTTTTTAAAAGCCCCGGCTAACCACCCCACCACCCCGCTTTCTCACCGCCCACCCGTCACAGGGGATGTCGGGCCTTGTAGTCCGTGGCGCCCTCCTTCTCCTCTCTTGCTGAGTTGAAACGCCCAGATAAAACTACCACTCCCAAAAGGCAACGCGCGCTCCTCTCTACGCCTGTGCGAAGTCCGAGTCAGCAAGGCGGGACTATAGTGGGCGGAACTGGAGGGACTATGGCGAAGGATTCGAATTCCGGAGGATTTAATTTGCTGGAGAAGGGACCGCGGCCCTGGAGGTAGGAGTTCCCGCTGACGTCTGGACGACGCAGCCTCAGCTCAGTCCCCTGGAGCTGCGGTGACAGTCAGTGCTGACGGTTGTTATTGTCGCTTTTTTGTCATTGCTCCGTGTTCTTTGGACTCGGGCAGCTGCAGACTGCGCGAGATCCTCAAGGAGGGCACTCAGATGGGATGTGGAGTTACCTGCGGGGTGTGTCTGCGCCGCCTCTCGATCCCTCCCTTCCTGTGACACCTGAAAGGGGGGGCGAGCTCTTCCCTAACTCGAGAGATAATTCAGCAAAGTTTGGTTCATAAAGAAGGGGCAGAAGAGGGATAGTTTTCCAGGTATCCAGGCAAAACTGGCCTTAGAAGAAGATGCCTAGCGGAAATTTAGGAACCTCACCGAGGCACCCCCCAGCTGTTAAACTCAAAAATTCGTTTGCCTCCTGGGAAAGAACTGTAACGAGAGGACGCGTTTTATTCCCCAATGAGATTCTGGGAGAAGTAACAAATGTTTAAATGCAACAGTAACGTTCTCCACATTAATATGAGATTTTTTTTTCCCCCAGAAATACAGTAGTTCGGCTTTGGTTTGTATTGATATTGAGAGAGACGAGCTCCTGATAAAAATTTGCTCTTGACTCATGAACTTGTTTCTATCAGTTTGCTTTTTACTTCCCCAAAACTTCGAGAGGAAGTCCTAATGTCTGTTGAACACAGACATTAAAATTCTTACTATAGCTAATTTGGATCATAAACAATCAAACGAATGGGAGCAATTGTGGCCTTGAGAAGTACAGAAACATAGGTAAGTAGCATGTTTAGAAAGGGGAATCATTAGCTGAGTTAAAAAGAAGTATTTAGCAAACCCTTCTTCCTGCACTGTAACCCACCCCCCATTATAAAAGGAAGTGCAACATGGAGTAAACTGATTTTGAGTAATCTGAGCTGTCTTTATATGCAAAAATAGCTCATGCTTTCAACTGATTTTGGAGCCTAGACCATGCACTTTAGGTAAATTAGCCGAAACTGGACTTTCAGTCTGTAATTATATGCTATACCTAACTGAGTTATAAACATTGTTTATAATTGCTGGTTACTGTTGCTTTATGGCCTCAATACCTAGTGTTCTTCATTCATAATTATGCATGTAGGATACCTTCAAGAGGCCATTTCTAAAACACTGATCTAATAACTGAATTGAAAATTTGAGGCTTTGTGTTGTTATAACCTGGACTTCAACCTCTTTTCCACTGTGTCAACTGTGAGCACCTACCCATTAGGTACAAGTAGATAACAATTATCATATAAACTACAAAAGTCCATCAGGGTTGTGGTTAAGTCACAAACTGTAGATGAAGAACTTAATGACAAGGCATCAATTCCCACAGACAAGTATTTAGGAGTTCAAGAGATTGAACCATACACATTTTCAAAAGTATTTTCAGCAAATGCGTGGAATCAAACGTGTTCCCACAATAGTTATTTCTACTACTAAACTCAAAGTATAGTTTGTGAGGTATCATTTCACTTTTTTAGATAATGTTCTTTGGGAGCAGAAACATAAATGTTTAGAAACAAACCCATTTACCAAAAACATTTAAAAAGAAGAGAAGTAGGGAGCGCCTGCATGGCTCAGTCGGTTAAGCGTACAACTTCGGCTCAGGTCACGATCTCCTGGTTTGTGGGTTCGAGCCCACATCGGGCTATATGCTGGCAGCTCAGAGCCTGGAGCCTACTTCTGATTCTGTGTCTCCCTCTCTCTCTGCCCCTCCCTGCTCACACTCTGTTTTCTCTCTCTCTCTCTAAAAAATTTTTAAAAAAATTTTTTTTAATTTTTTTTTAACGTTTATTTATTTTTGAGAGAGAGAGAGACAGAGCATGAACGGGGGAGGGTCAGAGAGAGAGGGAGACACAGAATCTGAAACAGGCTCCAGGCTCTGAGCGGTCAGCACAGAGCCCGACGCGGGGCTTGAACTCACGGAGTGTGAGATCGTGACCTGAGCCGAAGTCAGCCGCTCAACCGACTGAGCCACCCAGGCGCCCCAGAAAAAAAAATTTTTTAAAGGGAAGTAACATGTGTTGAGTGTCTCCTATGTGCAATTTATTTTTTTTTTAATTTTTTTTTTCCAACGTTTATTTATTTTTGGGATAGAGAGAGACAGAGCATGAACGGGGGAGGGGCAGAGAGAGAGGGAGACACAGAATCGGAACCAGGCTCCAGGCTCTGAGCCATCAGCCCAGAGCCTGACGCGGGGCTTGAACTCACGGACCGCGAGATCGTGACCTGGCTGAAGTCGGACGCTTAACCGACTGCGCCACCCAGGCGCCCCTCCTATGTGCAATTTAGATGAAGCTAGATGGTTTACACATTATCCCTGTTAATCCTTGTAAGAACACACAGGAAAGGAGCATCATTGGCCCCATTTTACAGATTGAAAACCTCAAGTCATGAAAGTTAAGGTTCTTGTAATCATACCCAGAAAATATCTGGCTCAGAGTAGGTTCTATAGTCTGATCTGAAGAGACTGAGCGTGTTTAAACTTTGCCTTTTAGGTTACATATGTGGATAATTTGCTAAAACATCAAGCTATGCAGAAAAGCCTCAAGAGGAACAATAATTCAAGAGTTTCTGGCATAAAATTGAATTCTGTGGATGCTGAGAAGGAAAAGAAAGAGAGTCAAAAGACCTTTGTTGAACTGTTGCCTCCAGAAGTCACTTTTAAAATTTTCAGTCAGCTGGACATTCGGAGTTTGTGCAGGGCTTCCATAACTTGCAGGAGCTGGAATTACACAGTAAGAAACAGTGACTCCTTATGGAAACCTCATTGCTTGACCTTAAGAGCTGTGTGCCAAAGAGAAGTAGACGATGATCTAGAAAGTGGATATTCCTGGAGAGTAAGTTTAGTCTTTGAAGTCTGTGGTGTTCTTGACAATATGGTGATAGGTTTGAGCCAACTCTGCCTTCTGCACAGAGGAGGTAGGATTTCATATACAGAGTGACATACAGAGTGTGTTGGCTTTTGGCCTTGAAGTTGAATTAGTATTTTCCTGCAAACCACATCATCCCATCCATCCTTTTACGTTTTTTAAATACTAAATTCAGGCATATTCCTCTGTTAGCTACTTCATTCCACCTTTTCCACAACTCACAGCAAACTCTGTGGCTCACTCTGTGTGTATACACATATACGTACACCCACACCCACCCACCCACGCACATATGCTTACCACAAATGTAATAGTAGATGTGTATATCAAAGTAAATATTTAATCTTCTTTTCAGCCCTGTCATTCAGCTTCTCTAGTTTTAAACAAACTCACTGACCAACCACCTACTCTATTTTTTAACAATGATGATTTACCTCTTTCAGGTAATACTACTGAGGAATTACCAGAAGAGTAAAGTGAAACATGAATGGCTAAGTGGCAGATACAGCAACATATGTTCTCCTCTTAGCCTACCAGAAAAAATCATGTACCCAATGGATGTAGATACATGGGGGGAAATTCTAGAAGCAGAACTGGAAAGATAAGCTGAAAAATTACAAACACATCTTGTAACTTTGAGAGTTTAAAACTAAAATGATTCTTAGGTTTGTTTTTTTGTTCGCCTTTTTAATGTTTAACATTCAAAAGAAAATATTGTAAAAGTCCAGCTTTGTTTTTATTCTGCACTTTCATAAAAATTCTGGCTTTACTGTAATGCAGAAAAATCATGATATGTTATTTATGTAAGAAATACTATACTGATAGAGTGTTTTAAATGTATTGCTTCATGTATTTATATTAGTATATTGCAGTACTCTAATGACAAAGGAGTTTGATTGGTATTTCCTGCTTAATGGTAATTCAAAAATTCAGGAAACCATATGAAGAAACTGATTAGTGATTCATTAAGTAGTAGACATAACTAGGCTTATAACTAGAAGTAGACATAATTAGCAAGACTACCTAAAATGAAATTAATAGTAACATGTTGAAATGTAGAATATAATAAATTTATATTTTGATAACTTTGAAATGTCCATTTCAGTGGCATCAGATTGAATTGTCAAACACTGAGCCCATTTTAAAATGTGCTAAACTTGTGGTTTAGTTTAAAATTAATCTGACTGGAAGGCTGAAACTTGTGAGATCATGATACCCATTACTTGCCTACAGACCTAGAACTGCTCTCAGGGACAGCCATCAGCACCGCCACACTGTTTTTCTTGGCAAACGCTTTCCAACAGCCTTACAGCACCATCTAGTGTACTACTTGTAGATAACCAAGGCAAGGGACTTAGATCCTTTTTGTTTTCCCCACATTTAAAAGAAAAAACGTGAAAAAAAAAAAGGAGGAGGAGAAGAACTGTATTATTTTAGAGTACGCTATATACCTGACTTGTTTAAATTTATAGCTTTCCAGGAATCTTTAACTTTTGTTTTTCTTTTTCTTAAAAGTAGATGGTATAGTACTCACTATACCAGATTGTTCATTCTGAATCTGTGGTCAACACCATAGTAAAAAGTGTCTGTGAAACACTTTAGTCAATATGGCATTTTCTTCTTAAATTGTGCTCTGTGGCACAAAAAATAAGAATCCGGGAAACCAGTATTTAACAAATAGGCACAATATTGGAAAGATGCCTTACTCTATGCAGATTCCTTGTGTTGGATCAAGCAGGTGAGGATCTGTTGGAAGGAACCTTAAAGACCAGGCATCATTCTCTAGGACTAGTTGACAATCCCTTTTAGAGGAATACCTTTCAGCCACCATTAACTCTCTTCTTGGCAAACTCTTTTGTAAAACTTATTCTCTGGACCTGGAAACCATCCCTAGATTATACCATTCTGGATCAAGTGGCCCTCGTTAAGTAAGGTTCCCATAGTTCTTTGTACATACCATTCTCAAAGCTGTCTACTACATTAAATTGTCAGTCTTATTTGTCTGTCCCCCTTGCCCCCACTGCCGCTTTGGACTATGAGATTCTTTTTTTTTTTTTTTTCCTAGTTTATTTATTTTGAGAGAGAGAGGTAGAGACACAATCCCAAGCAGGCTCCATGCTGTCAGCTCAAAGCCAAATGCGGGGCCCTATCTCATGAACTGTGAGATCATGACCTGAGCCAAAATCAGGAGTCAGATCCTCAACTGACTGAGCCACCCAGTCACCCCAGGACTGTGAGCTTCTTAAAGGCAGGGACCATTTATTTATTTATGTGTTCTCAAAACCTGGAATATAGTAGCTTTTCCCTAATGATTTGTTAAATTATTCCTATGTTATTTATTTTAACCCTACCCAGAATGTATAATAAAAATAATTTACATTATCGTTAGTGGACAAAACTGTATTGAAATGCAATGTAAACCTGTAAGATAGATGGGATGCTTACTATTAATGCTAATATATGAATGATTGTTTTAGTCTTCTCAAAAGCTACAAGGGAAAAATAAGGAAATAGAAATGTTTTCTTTTATGTTTTTGAATAAACACTTGAAAATAAACTTAACCCAAAAATATCACTTACTGTAATTATTGGGTCACTCCAGTGAGTTTTCAGTAATACTTTGCAAGCTATATGAACAATCTAGTTGTTTTTAGTACCATAACCTTAAAATAATTTTTTATATAATAAGCTATAAGCTATAAGCTATGATCACAGTCTACACAGAAAGTAAAGTTTGGAAACTTAATGATAACTTTTATGGTATGGTCTTAGAATGAACTGTACATTTATCAGACCGAGCCATTAGCATCTGAGAACATGAGTGGGTGGAGTAGAATGGAGAGAAGACATACTCTTACTCATAGATAAAATAACATGTTACATATACACAGTTTGTAAAAAAGGCAAGATTACTGGAATAGAATATTGAGTTTCTAGTTGTTTATTATTTAATCAGTTCAAGATCTAATATATATTTTTTTAATTTAGAAGTTTTTCTTTAGTTGCTTCTAGTTTATAACACAATCTTACTTAAGCCAGGACATAATCATCAGTAAAAATCTATATGAATATAAACTTCAGATCTTAGAATACTCAAGTATATAAAAGCCTAATTTGAAAAATATACCCTAACCACTTTAATTTCATCTTTGCTTTGACTTCATATAATATCTTCTTTCCAAAACTTCAAATACCCTAATAATATTAACAATGAGCAGTAACATCAGGAAGTGGATTGGGAAGAATAGATGGAAGAGCAGAATTAAAAGACCAAAATCATCAAATAGATTAAATTAGATCAACAATGGACAAAGTTGGTGAATTATAATAGCTAACATTTGTTGAGTGCCTACTCTGAACCAAGCACAGTGCTAATGCGGGGGATACTATTACTCTATATCCATATTATGGATGAGGAAACTGAAAATTGGAGAATGATCTTACCTATCGGTTCATCACCACTCCCCAGCACCTCTATGAGTATGTAACATGTAGTAAGTGCTCAATACATTTTTAATGAATGAATTAAAAGCTTATCTGAGAATGAGTAACTCGAATAAAAAAGCCAAGAATGTTCCTCCAACTTTTTATTTTTCACTTAAAATTTTTTTTAAGTTTATTTATTTTGAGAGAGACAGAGGCAAGCGGGGTAGGGAGACACAGAATCTGAAGCAGGCTCTCGGCTCTGAGCTATCAGCACAGAATCCAAAGTGGGGCTCAAACTCAATGAGCCATGAGATCATGACCCGAGCCGAAGTCAGACGCTTAACCAACTGAGCCTCCAACTTTTTATTTTGAAAAGATTTAAACACACAGAAAAGTAAAAATACATGACAAAAAACTCTTATGTATATACTTCACTTAGACCAGTTGTTAACATTTCCACTTTTGTTTTATTTATTACTTATTTTAACTGAAGCATTTGAAACTAAGTTGCAGACATAATACTTTACCCCTCAATATTTCAACATGCATCTCTTAAGTACATTCTCCTATGTGCAATACCATTATCACATATAAAATTTTTATATTGATTCAATAATATAATTTGTAATCCCTATTTAAATTTCCTTAATGGCCTCAAAAATATGTGGATTTTTTTTTTTTCCAATTCAGGATCCAAACAGGGTTTCGAATGCGTGTCATTTTTTTATGTCCCCTTAATCTCTCTGAACCAGAAGTATCCCTCTGCCCTTGGTTTTCTTTTTCAGGATATTGACTTGTTGGTTGTTTTTTTTTTTTTTTTAAGTTTATTTATTTATTTGAGAGAGACAGAGACAGCGCAAGTGGATGGGGGGCAGAGAGAGAGGGAGAGAGAGAGAATCCCAAGCAGGCTCCATGCTTCCAGCTGCAGAGCCCGACACAGGGCTCAGTCAGACCCACAAATTGTGAGATCATGACCTGAGCCAAAACCAAGAATCGGGAGCTTAACCAACTGAGCCACCCAGGTAACCTGATTTGTTGGATTTTTTAAGAATTCTGGTTGGTTTTCTTACAGAATGTTCTGTAAATGATTTGTCTGATTATCTCTTCATGATTTGATTCAGGTAACACATATTTAGCAATTATACTACATAGATAAATGTAATATGCTTTTTAATGCACCACATTAAGAGGCACATGTCTGTGTGACCAGGTAAGTCTGATTATTTGATTGAGGTGGTAATCCTCAAATCTCTCCATTCAAAGAATATTTTCTTATAGAGTCAAGATTTCTTTTTTCAAGAACCCATTTCTAGAGTATTCCCTGTTGACTAAACCCTATGCTAAATGCTTTATAACATTTTCATATTCCATCTTCATAATTAGACTTTCAAAGAACACAGGAAATCATCTCCAAGTTATTTTCCATATCAACATAAGGAGATGCAAAATCACTATTTAAACCCAATTCTCTTTGATTTCAGAGACCAAGTTTTTAACCACTAGAGTAGAGCACGTTGTATAATTTTGACAGTCCTTACATTAAGGCAACATAAAGGACTAAGACTAACAAGGAACACCTCCCAATACAAATATCTAGAAAATCAATATCTAGATGAAACCAGTATTAGATGTATAGAACTTGACATTTATGCTAATAGCAGATCAGGCAATTCTGACAAGCCTTCCTACTTAGGACAACTTGAAAACTTGGGGCAACAAAAATTAATTCCCTGTAGATAGAGCTAACAAATAGTAAAGAAATATTTCACCTTTTAGGATGAGCACTGGGTGTTGTATGGAAACCAATTTGGCAATAAACTTCATATATTGAGAAAAAAAAAATATTGGACCAGTGTCTGGGGAAAGAAAAAGAGCCAGAGAGGTAAGTCCATGATTGAGGTTAATCTTGCCATGGAGCATTTGCCAATTTCTGCAAGACCAACTGAGAGATGAATACATTTTTGCCTTGTTCCTTACCTTCATGGGATACTTTCAGTGTTTCTTTATTTCAACATTCTCCTCCAGTGAAAGCATCCCCATGAAGGTAAGGAACAAGGCACAAATGTCCACAATCTCCATCTCCATTACTATTTCACACCATACTGGATGCATTAGTCACTGTATTCATTCAAGGGGAAAAAAAAAGTAGAGGCATAAGAATTGGAAAAGAAGTAAAATTCCACTTGCAGGTGGTATGATAATATATCTGCAAAACCCAATAGAATCAATGATAACACTGATATGAACAAAATAATTCAGTAGTCAGCAGGCTACAAAATATATATAACTATGTATATAGTTATAGGACAATATATAATAATTATGCAATTTAGATTAATCACATCAAAGGAATATCCATTAATTTCAATTTTTATCTAATACTTTTATTAACAATGGATATTGAACTTTATAAAAGGAGTGTTTGGCACCTGCGACTTAAGTTATACACCTAAGAATTTTTAAGAACTTTACAAATATTTTGTTATTATTCTACATGCTGTGACAATAGCTTCTTAGGTTGCTATAACGTGCATTTTTTCTCACATCCAGAAAACCAACAATATTGAAAATCATATTTTACAACATTGAAAAATTTGATGAACAGGCTAGCTTTCTCCCTTCAAATTGTCTTATAATAATAATAATAATAATAATATCTTCCAATGATTGAGTACATTTTACATGTACTTGAATCATATAGTCTTGAAAGTTAGTTTTTTATCACTAATTTTTTGAAATGCAAAAATTGAGATTCATGGAAGCAAAGTAATTTGAGTAAGGTCAAGCAGCTTGTACCTGGAGGAAAGGACCCTGACCTCAGGACTGGTTCAGGTAGCTGTTTCTGCTACACCATCCTTGAGACCTAGTAAATGCTAATAAACTGCCAGCAGAGGGAGCAATACTT